CATCTAACTCACTAAAATAATATTTTTAAAAAATAGCTTTGTAATATAAATTAATGATATTAATTGAAACCATTGTGTGTTATTTTATTTTCATGATTAACTTTTAGTATCAGTGACAAAATGGCATTAATACATATTTTAGAAACATAAATAATTCTAACAAATAAATTTACTGGTAATATGTTTTTTTCAATAATATAATCAAATCTATATATATATAAAATTGAATGTCTGTCTGTCTGTACTCTATAGATTCAAAAACCATACATCCAATCGCCGTGAAATTTTGGGATATTATTAGGTATATCACCGGGAAGGTTTTTGAAAAATAATTTCATGAATATCTTGAATATCCTTAGAGTTATTTGCAGATTTGTAGATTTAACTCGCAAGCAGCGCCCCCATTGTGACGATGATAACAAGTTTTCTTATCACTAAGTTTGTTAGCTTAAATATTATTTATCAAAAGTAAGATTATCTCAGGATGACACGGCAATTTATTTGAGGCAAGAATAATGATACAATTCCAAGGCGAAGATACTATTCCTTTAACTTCCAATTACCGACGGAACCAATTAATATTGATTTTATTCAACTTATCGAGTATTTTTCAAGGGACCAGGAAAAAATGTTCACTAGATAAAACTATGATTTTCTAATGTAGAAAATTAGGAAAGACAAAATTCAGGATGACACGGCACAAAGGGACCGGGAAAAAATGTTCACTTTATCGAGAGATTCAAATTTACGAGTTTCAAATTATCAAAATACAGTAGAACTTGGATAATTCGAACTTCTTTAATTCAAAAACCTCTTTAATTCGAATATTTATCTTGGTCCCTAGAATTTTCTATAAATAGAATTTCCATTTTTAATTCGAATTTTTGGATAATTCGAATTTTTTTATGGTCCCTTGGGGTTCGAATTATCCAAGTTTGACTGTATATCTTTTTTTTTTTATAAGTTTTTAGAGAATTGTTTTAACAAATGTTCGCTAGAATATTATTATCATTATCAATAATATTCGTTAGGCAAACTTTCACTCTGATAAAACCCGGGCGAAGCCGGGTACACATCCGCTAGTATTAAATATAATATATTAAATAATATTTTATTCTAATTGAAAAATATAGCAGTTGAAATTGAAATAAATATGGTAAATAAAAATAAAATTTTAAAATAATCATGAAGATCTTTTAAAAAAATCCTTTAAAGATGTCTGTTTTTGCACTGAAATCCTATTCAGGATGTATTCCAGATGGTCTTTTTGAAAAAACATGCCTGCCTTTCTTCCTCTGAAATGTCTTTGAATAAATAAATTTTAATGTATTAAAGTCATCCACTGCTGCTGCAGGTGTTATTGATTTTATGTTTAAATCTTTCATAATAACACAGAAATGGAATATTGAAATAAAATGTTATCAAAATCATTGAGCTACATTTTATAAAGATTTATTTATTTAAAAGGAAATTATTTGTAAATTTTAAAATAACTAAAATTTAAAATTAAAATATTATTGTTAATTAGCACACGAAGCCTAAATCCCAGCGTAAAAAAAAAACACACTCGCGACATTGCGCAACGGCACTGCAAAGTGAAACAAACTAACCAGGAACCAAAAGTGCGCGCGCGCGATCTTATCGGCGCCAGCCGATCGCCGCCATAATACCTTTTTAGCGGAAAGTTGTATGTAAAAAAACATTCAACTGTCGAAATTCGAATTTTAATATGGTCGAACTATCGGAAGTGTCGTATTATCAATATGTCGAATTATGGTTTGTTATTTGATAGGCCGGAGGTCGGGACATCAGAACATGGTCGAATTATCGCCGAGTGTCGAATTGGGGTGTGTCGAATTAACGAGGTTATACTGTATATAATTATATATAACTCTAATTATATAATTAAAAATCGCATTGAGAAAGATGCCAATCTATTTAAGTGTCAGCTTTATGGAACAAGTACGGTGCGACGGTGGCGCTCGAGTGGCGAAAGTGTGAACTAAAATATTGGAGCAATTTTTTTTTTAACAACCGCATAATATAAAGTCCCGTGTGTATATTTGTGATAATTATAAATAAATAATTATTAAATTGACTCAATACACACATTTCACTTACACTGGGAAATATATAATTTCAAAAATAAATTTTAGTTCCTATTTCTGCCACTCGAGCGCAACCGTCGAACTTAAAATGGTCCATAAAGTTGACTTAAATGAATCATCCTTTGATTTCTGTTTTTTTTTTACGTTAATAAAATTACAGACAAACCTCCATATATCGTAAATAAATGTATTAATTGAGAATCCATCTAAATAAATATATCATTTAGACCTATCAACTTATTTAAATATCTCGTTTATAAATCCAATATAGAATAATTTCTTATCTTTTTTAAGGTATATTTTCATCTCTCGTAAAAAGGTTACAATTTCTCATTGAAAAATTGACTATTTATTCTCATAATAATATATTTGAGAGAAGAGATTAAAAATGAAGATATAAAAAGTAATTAATTATATGATGTAAAATGCCTTCTGCATTTAAAATTTTAAACTATTTTTAGGATCTATTCTTTAAATAAACAATTTCTACTGTAAATTGTTCATGTTATGAAATTATTAAGTTTATCACAAGCAACAACAAACAACAAAAATCTTTATTAAGACCTTTTATTCTTATACAGATTCTCCAAGCAGAAATGTAGGATACATGTAGGAAAGAAGTAATAGTACCTTAATGGTAATATGATATTGGAAAAATTATATAAAGACAATCAAGCTAATAGTCTGGTAAATTGGAGGAAAAGAAAGTTTATCATAAGCATCTTCTTCTTTCTTATCTCCACACTGGATGAAGTAGAATGCGTCTGACTTTGTCATTAAGACTTGGAGCACTACTCAGTGGCAGGCCGACTTAGCTCCAAAAGAAATGGCCGCCTCTGACATGAGGAACAGACGCCATGTGCAGCCGCTCCTAACATGGAGTACAAACGCTGCTCATCCTGTATCCCTGGATTAGGAGCCCTTACAGGATACTATCAGCCGGGCCAGCTGAACCCAGGTTTTTTAGTGAGCTTGTTAATGCTCCCCCTCCTCCTTTTTCATCCGGGCTTGGGACCGGCAAAGGCGGAGTTATCATAAGCATGATTGTTACTTCTGGTCGTATAAGATATTATAGCTGGTACAGAGTGTTTATAGATTGATTCAATAGGCGACCCATCAAATACGTTTATATATATACAGTTAAACCTGTCTATAGCGACCCCTCTAAATAGCGCCTCCCTCTCTATAGCACCTGATTTTAAATACATAGTACGATGCGATTTACATTAAAAGTAACCTATCTATAGCACCCCCTCTCCTATAGCACCCAATTTTGGTGAGTCCCAAGAGGGGGCGCTAAAGACAGGTTTAACTGTATATATATATATATATAAAAGCTCGTACCTGGATCGGTAAAGGAAAAAAAAATTTTTTTCTCAAAATATTTCGAGAGATTGCTTACTTTTTATCAATTTATTGCACAGTAAACTTAATATACAAATTCTTGTGGATCAGAAGACAAAGAAGCCGGAAAAATCCAGATTTGAACAAATATGTTTTAAAATGGCTTCAAATAAGCAAGAGATAAGAAGAGAGATTCCCGTGAGTATTTTCTTCGTCACAAGATGCAACCATTCACTGAATAGTCTAATTCCTCACTGTGTTCTATGCACGATGTATATAGTCTTTTGTACATAGATATTCTTTCCTTGTTTTTCTTTTTCTATTTAAAATTTCCTTCATCCTCTTTTTTTCTTCTTTTCCTCTTTTCTGAGCGAGGATTCCATTTCTTCCCCTGTTTCTCATTTCTTTTTGAATCCATTTCTCACAGGAGAATCGTCTGTATAAGACGGAATGTCTTAATAAAGGCTTGTATGTGTGTACGATTCCCGTGTGAGTGGTCACTTTATAAGAAGAAAAACTGAACAATTTTGCCACTGAAATGGGGAAAAACGATTTTAAGACAAGTTCAGGTTGGCTAGATGGTTTCAAAGAACGCAACGAAATTTCGTTCAAAACAATTTGTGTTAATGTACAAGTAGCCGAACAATGGAATTTATGGGAGATGAGCCAGGATAGAGACGTCTCCAATATTGATAAAACAGGTATTTTTTGTTAAATGCACCCCTGACAAAAGGCTAGCATTTAAGCATGAAAAATGTCACAGGGGGGAAACTAAGCAAAGAGAGAGTCACTCTTCTGGTTGGTACAAATATGGACGGATCTGAAAAGCTCACTCTATTGATGATATGCAAGCCAGTCAATCCACATTGTTTCATAAACGTCAATTCAGTAAGGTCTGTAAAGAGACTAAATATTTTATAATTATCAAATACTAGACGAATGACCCCGGCTTCGTCCGAGAATTTCCCCCCCCCCCCCCCTAATGCAATTTCCTTCATACTGAAATAACATCAATAATAAATGGTAGAAGTGCCATTGAATAGCTATAAGGGTTTATAAAAAGCGACATGCAAAATTTGGTACCAATTGGTTCAGTAGTTTTGAGTTTATCGCGAAACAGACAACAGACATTGACTTTTATATATAAGATAATAATATAAATGAATTTTAAAAATTGAAAAAAAAAAAAATGCATCAGCTGGGAATCGAACCCGGGCCGCCCGCGTGGCAGGCGAGCATTCTACCACTGAACCACCGATGCTTATAAGAAATGGCCATATTTGGGTATTTATTCATATATGGGTATTTATTTGGGTAGTTTTTCAAATGAAAAAAAAAAAGAAATAGCCAAAAATACTAATCAAAATGTAGCCGAAAATTTTCCTCAGGTTTATAAAAAGTGACATGCAAAATTTGGTACCAATTGGTTCAGTAGTTTTTGAGTTTATCGCGAAACAGACAGACATTGACTTATTACTATAGTCACGACCGTCTTTCCTCATCGGCCGCCTCTGTCACGGATGCGCGCGCATCTACCAAAAAAAAAACTCAGTCGAGCCAGATTTGAACCAGCGACCTAAGGATCACCGCTTAATTACATCTACAGTCCTCCGCTCTGCCAACTGAGCTATCGAGGGATACAAACCGATGAATAAGTTTACCTTATAAAGTCAACTAATCCTATTTCTACACAAAATGTACTCATACCTAACTAATAAATTAAGATTTTGAACAAATACTTATACAGTGGACCTTCGGTTTGCGAGCATAATCCGTACCAGAGCCATGCTCGTACTCCAAAACGCTCGTAGTGCGAAACTAATTTCTTATTTTTAATAATTGAAACTCGGGCAATTCTTCTTGCTACGAACAATTGCACAGTTTCCCACATTTTACATATTTCCCGAATCTGATCTGAAGGGAGGGATCACAGTGAATTTTCATCCATCACGTTTACGGGCAACCATCACGAGTTGCTCGTAATGCGAAATTTCACTCGTAATCCGAGGTAAAATTTTTCAAAAAATTTTGCTCGTACTGCGAAAAGCTCATACTCCAAGGTGCTCGTAAACCGAGGGTCCACTGTATCATTTCTCACATATTAATATAGATATATTTATATTTTGAAAATAGAACAATCCAAATTTAAAATCCTTAGATTAAAAAAAAAAAAGGCAAATATTGGCAAATACATCTCTTATTCAATTCAATATATATGCCTTTTTATTATTATTACAGGGGGTCGGTGGAAGGCTGGTTAAACCGTTTGGTTTACGACCACTACGACCCGGGTTCGATCCCCACATTGGACACTTTTTTCTGTTTAAAAAAAAAAAAATGCTCCAATGGCCCCCCGATTCTTGCAAAAGTCCAACCCCACCAGCGAGTGCAAGTAACCAAACGGGGCTCTGGCACATTTGTAAGTGCAAAGTCGAACTGCTTTCACATGTGTAGACATGTGGTGCGCTTACAGTAAAAAGCAGTCGCTAACTACCCACCATGATTATCATGGCCTGTACCACGTGTACTAGGGATAAGCAAAAAAAAAAAATTATTATCACTATATATAGTCACGAGAGTCTTTCCTGATCAGTCAGTCATTGGCCGGCCGCCTCTGTCACGGATGCACAGGGAGGTCACGTGCTCGCCGGCAGCCAATAGGCGCGCGCCGCCGGCAGGGGTGGGGGGCATTATGTCACTCAAGGTCACCTACGCGCCAATGATGACACGTGATCGTAGCCATCCAATAGGAGGGCGCCGGCCATCCGTGACAGAGGCGGCCTATGACTGATTGATTAGGATATGCATTTATTTAAGGCGCCAATTTATCGGGTAAAACACAGGTGTTGCCCGGGTCATTCGGCTAGTAGATTATAAACACAAGGTAATAAGACCAAATCCAAATAAATAGTGAGTGACGTTTCGGTAACAGCATTGTTACCATCTTCAGACAAAAGTACTGAATGAGAAATTTTACCACAGCTGTTACCGAAACGTCACACACTATTAAATTATTTGGTTTTATTACCTTGTGTTTATAATCTATAATCCAAATTGTGCCTTATCAATTTTCTTTTAATTGAAACATATCTTTTATAAGTAAAACTCTACTAATACAAACCCGGGATATAAAGAACATAAATGGCCAAGTGATGCAAGAAAAAAATTATACCATTATATACCAAGGCATCTTTTGATGAATAATAAATTAAACTATTGATTCTTTCACTTTCACACATCTAGCTTGATAGTTTCTAATTCATATAGTTTAAGCCAAGATTTAGGGCGAATTGAACCTTTCTAACCGCTAAATTTTTCTTAATTTGTTGACCCCTGCCACCATTCTACCTTTCTTGCATCGTAGCCTTTTGTATGGTATCCTTTCGTAGCTGCGCCAAAATTTAATGTAACGTTTTTGTGTTAAATGTTAAAAAGTTTTGTGGTTTTACATTGATAATTTATTTGATGTTGTTTATAATAATCAAGATGCAAATTACATTGTTATTTTTGTTTATTATCGTTTGTTTATATATATTAAAAAATTACATTGTATGGGATGATGATAACAAAAATGACTTTAAATTAATATACAAAATCCATTGAAAAAAAAAAGAAATAATTAATTATAAAATTCAAAATCGTGACAATATTCATTTTAAAAGAAAATAATGCTAAAAATTAATTTCTTGTCAGGCTTCATAATTAAACATTTCAAATCATGTTCTATATACACAACTGAATACTTGAATTAAACACAAGATATTTTGGTGGATATTGTAAAAATAAGCACATACTGGACATTTATAATATTAATGTTTTTTTTTTTTTAGATATACAAAGAAACAAAAGTAATAAGCAAAAGATTGGTTCTTCTAATTATGCAACCCCCCCCCCATATGTCTAAAAAAATCAAGAAAAGTATAATACAAGGAAAAGTTATATCAATAATATTTAAAAGGTATAAAAATCCATTTTAAATCAATATTTTTATACTACAATATAGGCTTACTTTAAAAAGACTTTATTTTTTCTGGTTTAAACTGTTCATTCTCATTAACACGAATATATTGCTCAAATTTTTTGGATGCTTTTGATATTTCTTCAAGGTTTAATAAATTTAAAGAATCTTGTGGGGCAATTTCATCTTGAAGACTTCCGAACCCAGACATGGAAGAGCAATTTACAATGGTTGATTTAGGGACAGAGTCCCATGACATATTCAACCATTCTATTGAATCAAGCAATGTAATATTGGTCTCTGTTTTTTTTTTTCATGTCTATAAGGCATCTATTGATTAACCTGATCCTATATCTCCTTTTAATATCATGAATTATATCCATATCCATAGGCTCAGCTTGGCTGTGGCATTGGGGGGGAATATAATGCCTGAATATTTTTCAATTTTTCAGGGATGTGTGCTGAATAATTGTCTAGAATTAGCACCACCTATCTATTTTCACTGGCAAAATACTTATCTAAATAATGAAGATATTTTTTGAAAATTAAGACTGTCATTCAAGCTATTTTATTTGCTTTATAATGGGTGGAGAGATTTTTTTTGCTTTCTAAGCAATCCATATCAGCTCCAGCCAAAAAGGTAATTCTCTCGTTTGGCCTCTGTTCCAGAACAAATATCGCCATTGAAGGCGAGTGTCTTGTCAGGCAAATCCTATAAAATAATCCTGACTCATCAAGATTATAAATTATTGGAGGGAGAATATACACTTGTCCAAAAAAGTAGGTATTTTTTTCTCCATCTTCCACCACCAAAAGGTTCATTGCCCTTTCCTCTCTGCAAATTTTTTAAAAATAATATTTCTTCTGGCCTTAATTATATTAAAGTACCCATTAGGGGCTTCAAAATCATATTTCATACCCATGGTATAAAAGAATGGCCTCTTGTTGTAAAATGTGGCTCATTTAGTGGGATATTTTTTAGCCTAGCTTGTACAAGCCACTTATACAAGCTTCTTCTAAAAGAAGATAATGACACTGATGTTCGCGGCCAACTTCTTTTTGGCCCCATTTCGTAGAATTGCTACTTTTCCTCATTTTCTTCCAAAGTTCTGCTTGTGATGTGCCACTTTCATGTATCAATACATGGTTTGTATGATGGCTATTTTCTTTTCAAGTGTATATTGTTATGAGTGACTTTTTCTTTGGAATTTCCATTATATTTTGAAACCGGTGTCAATAATTTGTCCATTTTCAAAGGAATTTTACGAATGTAAAGAAATTTAGTTTTCAATAAGGTATAAAATTTATAAAAGCATGTAGGCAGTAAAAAATGGATCATAAATGAAAACACCAATGTCCCTAAATTTATTGTTTTAAATTGTTATCTGTAACCTAGAGCTCGCACAAAAATTTTAATTAGTTTAAAAAATTGGTTAATTTAAAATTCAAAGTTAGTTATAGGCATGGTATTTTACATAGAATTTAATATTTTGGGACCTAAATTGATTTTGTTTTATTTATAGATTGCTATTTTGAAAAACACAATTTTTGTTATAACAATGGTATTTTTAATGGAATTGGATTTACATTGGGTTCTTTAGAAAGGAAAGTTCATTATATCCTGGTTTTGTCTTATCAGGGTTTTATTGTATATGGTTGCAAAATAAAGATGTTCTCAGAAATTGACTTTTATATATATAGAGATATATTTAAATGACTTTTCCTGGTGTGTGTGTGAGCAAATGTTGATTAAGGCTGCATTTGTTTCTTGATCTATAGTCACAAAACTCACATTTAAAAGGCTTTTCACCAGTGTGTGTTAATGTATGCTTTTTAAGATACCTACTTGATATTGTTCTATATTCACAATATTCACATTTAAAGGTCTTTTCACCAGTGTGTTTTAATGTATGCGTTTTAAGATCACACTACTACGAATTGTTCTATAATCACAATATTCACATTTAAAGGTCTTTTCACCAGTGTGTGTTAATGTATGCCCTTTAAGATAACTACTATAAATTGTTCTATATTCACCCTATTCACATTTAAAGGTCTTTTCACCTGTGTGTTTTAATGTATGCTTTTTAAGAACACTACTATAAATTGTTCTATATTCACAATATTCACATTTAAATGGCTTTTCACCTGTGTGTTTTAATGTATGCCTTTTAAGAACACTACTTTTTATTGTTCTATATTCACAATATTCACATTTAAAGGTCTTTTCACCAGTGTGTGTTAATGTATGCGTTTTAAGATCACAACTATAAATTGTTCTATATTCACAATATTCACATTTAAAAGGCTTTTCACCTGTGTGTTTTAATGTATGCTTTTTAAGATCACTACTATTAATTGTTCTATATTCACAATATTCACATTTAAAAGGCTTTTCACCTGTGTGTTTTAATGTATGCGTTTTAAGATCACTACTATAAATAGTTCTATATTCACAATATTCACATTTAAAAGGCTTTTCACCTGTGTGTTTTAATGTATGCATTTTAAGAACACTACTATAAATTGTTCTATATTCACAATATTCACATTTAAATGGCTTTTCACCTGTGTGTTTTAATGTATGCCTTTTAAGATCACTACTATAAATTGTTCTATATTCACAATATTCACATTTAAAGGGCTTTTCACCAGTGTGCGTTAATATATGTGTTTTAAGATCACTACT